TCAGTGTAACACAATTATTACATATCTGCCTATATCCGAAAGATGACCATACATACAGAAATATCAGTACACATTTTGCGGTAAAACAATACAAAACACACGTACCTAGTTTCCGACAGTAGAACGGGTTTATTATTAATTTTTTCATTCCAGCATGTAATCACCAGACGTGGTGACGACACACTCAAGTTTTTTCAACTTATATTTATGCCGCCACCAACACAGGGGACAAATACATGACAGGACAATACTCATTTACACCTGAGCTAAGTGAGGAAAGTCGTATAAATTGCCTTTCCCAAGGGCACAAGATCGGTGGTATGTCAGGACTCGAACCCGGGACTCTTAGTTCCGAGTCGCGCACTCTGCCGCTACGCCACACGACCCCACGACTACGGGTTTATTGCTTACTTACCTCAAAGTTAAGTACAAGGAACCGTCCCGAATGTAATGCTAAATTGGGCAGATTTTCTCTCCAGAAGCTTTGTACACCTACAGTGCCCTATATATAACTGCTATGTTCGTCAGAAAAAATTATATTAGAACATACCTGTAAACTGTGTGTTCTCCGCCTGCTTCCTTCTCTTCACTCCAAGAATGAATGTCTTGACGATGATTTCATTCTACGTCTGCATTCCGTTGCCAGATATTGTTCCTCGCAATGGCCAGGTGGTTTCCTGGATTTATAGCACGACGAGAGATGGCTTCCTTCTTTGCCGTTGCCTATTGAATCCATACACCGCAATCTCATTTCCGCTGTGGTCCAGAAATGATGAATTCACTTTCCGGGCTCCAGGTAGCGTGGAAAAAACAGTCCTGGTATCGATATATTCAGGACATGAATATTGACTCTGTGTGCATGGCATGTACTTCCCAGTCTCTAGGCATATGCGGAAGACGGTCAGTGTTGTCGTATAAAAAACAACAACATGGGAGATTCTTCGAAAGAGGCCTGAACACAGTCCGTGCTATAACGCCATGCCCTACTGGCCCGGAAGGTCTTCTCTGCGTGGCACGTTGAAGTCCAGCTGATACAGGGCCTACTGAGCCGACTGCCCGCCGCACAGGCCGGTACTAGACACCGGTACTCTTCGCTGTACGGCCGTCGGCAACTCCTCTGGCCACGCACATGGACCGCGCAGGTGGATTGCCAATCATCCACCACCTCAGATAACACGCAGATAGTTACATCAGGCCGATACAAGTCAAGCTGTTGTTTGAGGGATGATCGGAGCCCTAACAGGCCGAAAAATTTATTTCCATTGAAGCTACTAAATATGCCTTTGGGAAAGGTTGACAATATAAGGCCACACCAAGTAAATTTTATGGATGACGTCCTTTGGAGACCCTAAATCTAATGCGAGAGGGCGAAAAAAAAACAAGAAGGGCCCTAAAAAACAAGATGCCTAGATTTGAAATATACTAAGAGACGACAAATGTTAGGACACAAATTGAATGAGGTGACACAGTGTAATAAGCAAGAAGTCTTTTATGCATCATCAAAACAGCAATAAATCAGGTGGAACAGTGGACAGTGAAAAATTTTCTGTTATTGACAGGATGGTCCTGTCAATAGACACTTTCTTCGCGTTACGGGTTTCACGTCAATCTGACAATTTGCGGCACTGTCGTGACTCTTTGGTCATAGTTACAGGAAGCGAAATTTCTTGGTTTTTTTCTAGGAACAGGCCAAAATCAATGCGCGCGGACGTCATCCATAAAATTTACTTGGTGTGGCATGCCATTCAACCGCAGCCCAGGGTTACCTAGTATACTGATATATTTATTCTTCCGATTTCTAAACTATTTCTGGACACGTTTGAAGTGGATGGGAACAACATCGCGTGGCACTTAATTAACATTGCAAATGTTTAGCGTTAGGTTAGCTATTTGTGAATGAGGTTATAATTATGATTAAAGTCTTTTTCTCGTTCTTTTTATGCCGTTGACAGCACTGTAAAAATTGAATAAACATGTACATCAATATATATATCAATACCTCACGTTTAATGTAACCCCTCATTTGAAGCACAGATTGAACAATGGTAAATTTGTAATAAAAAAAAAAAGAAGATAGTGTGCTAGTGTAACGGAAATGAAAAGAAACCTACAGTGGGGGTCGCTGGAAGACAGACGTAGAATGTCCAGACTGTGCATGATGTACAAAATGACTAATAAACTGGTGGACGTACCAACCACTAAGTATCTGATACCAGCCCAGAAAAGAACAAGAAACGGTCATGCCTTCAAATATCAGAGTTATCATCCAAGAATTGAGGTATTCAAAAACTCGTATTTCCCCAGAACTATCGTAGACTGGAACTCGTTGCCACCAAGCACAGTTGGGGCATCATCACTAGAAAGCTTTAAACAACTCCTGCAATTAAATGTGCAACGATTGAGTGTAACAAGTCGTTTGGTGTGATATAGCTAGCTGCCGCAGCGCCGCGTGCCTGCGAAGCTGGTGTGTTACGCCGAAGGGCGGTTATACCGGCTATACAGATACAGATACAGAAGGTGAAACAGTCAACTGCATTGTCCTGGCCTCCACCTCTCCATCCCACGTGTACATCGCACCATTAGGGCTGCAGATGAGAACAGGAACCTATCAGAGGTGATGAGACGATACGGACTGAAGTGTGGTGCTCATGATCATCATCAGCTAAATTGATCTGTTGAAAACGTTTTTCTTTTCCTTTTTGGCCATGTGAGGACATATGTAATGATGCTAGATTGTATGGAGGCTTCTTGGCTTTGCCTACTGAACATTAGGCCACAGCAAGTAAATTTTATGGATGACATCCTCCGCAGACTCCAAATCTAATGCGAGCGGGCGAAAAAAACAAGGCGGGCCGAAAAAAAACAAGGTTCCCACATTTTTTAATATTTTGACTCCATCATTGAACAAATAGTTTTGATTCAGTAGGAACATCACATATACACAGCCAGCGTCACATGTCACTGCATCAAAGTAAGAAACAAAACATTGGATCAGAGTCTTGTCTTGTCTCCTCTCTTCATATTTATCTGCCATCCACCTTCCGGCATGGCAACAGACATCTTTGTCCATTTTCGGCATGTTGACTACTGTCAGAAGGCAACAAAATTTCTTGTTTTTTTTCCAAAATCAGACGAAAATTAATCGCCGCGCTGATGTCATCCATAAAATTTACATGCTGTGGCCTTAGTTGGTACATAGATCTGGTCTAACCAATACAGTACTCAAATAGGAAAATACATTAAAGAATGTTTCAATCTTAGAGAATGCATGTTAGAGAATAGTTAAACCCTTATTTTTACCACTTATATATATTCTGTATGTAATTTGCCACATACATATATTCTGTACGTAGGATGAAGTTATCCATAAATGTATTTAACTTTGTTAGATCTTTAGTTCTAGAAGACCATACAAAAGTCCCTGTACTTTTTGTTGCATGTGTCAATAAAGAATCTCCTTTATGTAAGAAGCTTATTACTGCAGTAGAATTTCAGCAAATTCTCGACAGTGCATAGCCCAACACTAATATACGCGTGATGTAACGTGTTGGGCTTTTTTTATCACTTAATCTCCAAGCAGATCTTTTGGTGACTGCAAATACAGAATAAGATTGGCCAGGCTGGTGGCGAAATAGTAACTGTCTGGCAAACGCATACAGCCTGGCCAATTTGATTCTGTCTTTGCAGCCACCAGAGGATCAGCTTGGAGACTACTGTGGCTCACAATGTCACCATTGTTCTTATGTGGCGTATAATTTTGGCCCTATCTGATGTCAATTCTACCCCCCTTTAGACAGGAAACTACATACAGCCCCTGTTACTCTGCTTCATGGCACACCCTAATGTCTATTATATTTGGTATGAAGTGAGAAAACAAGCAAATCATACATTTGGCTTATCCTTTTTTTTATTGATTCCATGTACACCATATGGTGCTGCCATCTGCCAGTCGATGCGTCAACTCGAGCTCTGGTCAGTTGTTAGCAGAAAATTGCAACTACTTACTGTAGCCATCTTGCCATACGATACTACGTATACCCTTCCGTATTTTTCATCATTTCTGGGCATATGTAAGACATAAAGATGTTCAATTCGTTGTCTACTACACGCTGAGCTGGACGTACATAAAAGGGATACCACTGGCTCACCGTCATATCCCAAACATCCAAGATGGCGACGTTCAAATCTCCCAGAATGCTCCTCATTTCCTGGTTTATTTGGTCAGCCAGCCAATCCGACCCTTGTTCCACTTCCCTGTAGTTATAATGGTGCCGTGCGTTGCACGTCTTTACGATTATTTTGGTTTCAGGATACTTCTTGTGAAGTTCTTGAATGGCGGACCTCACTTCGCCGCCGTGCCGCGTGCCTGCGAAGCTGGTGTGTTGCGCCGGCCGAAGGGCGGTTATACCGGCTATACAGATGCATAATTTATTAGGCAATGCAAGAATAGCCTTCTTTGTTAAGACTGGATGGATAATATGATCACCTACTACAATACATGCAAATGAGGATCTTATTTGCATAATCAATGAGAAATATTTACGATTCATCAAAGCGTAAAGGTTGACATCTTTTGGCGAATGTAGGAGATCGTTGCACTCTAGTATCTAATCTCATATTTCAACACAACATTAAAATGAATGCATTAATATTGATTTTACGAGGGACATCAGCGTTGTCACGAGATGTTCGTAAACACAGTGCAATTACGGAATACAGTACAATTTTACGGAATACAGCGCAATTTTACTGGTATAGAGTGCAATTTTACGGAATACAGTACAATGGTATTAGTATACAGTGCAATTTTACAAGTCTACACTGCATACTACGAGTGCACTGTTTTCCGTAGAATTGCTCTGTATACTAATACGATTGCAGTGCATTCCTTAAAATTGAACTGTATACGTCTAATACAATGGTACTGCATTCCGTAAAATTGCACTGTATTCCATAAAAATTGCACGGTAAATTCTGGCACCCCTGAAACACGGACAAAGATGGCGGAAGGAGGGGTGCCCGAACTTCCGAGTCAAGAGGGCGGCCTGAAGTCTTACAGTCCACGCCGGGACTTCTTATTCACCAGTGAGCCGAGGGCATACACTCCCTTGGACGGCACAGGAAGGTACGGTAGGAATAGGGAAGTCACAGGGTCCGCCACCGTTAGAATTTTCAAGGCCAAATGCAGGAACCACCTCTCATACGACTACTAACTTTTGAACATTTTTTAACCTATCAGACTTTCCAACCGTTCCATCCTTCCTCTTCTCTTTTGACTATAGATATTTCTATGATTACTATATTAATTTGATGATGATGTGTCTTCGATATTGTATAATGCACTGTTATGTTTTGCTATTTGGATATTCGTAACTTGTTGTTAGGTCCTGTATATTGTATTGACTTGTCCTGTGTTGTGTTGTATGTACCATTGGCAGCCGCCACCAGCCTTTAGGCTGCCTGGCTCCCACTTAAGCTTGTAATGCATTGTGGCATCACCAATAAATGAAAATGAAATGAAAATAAATGAATAGGGTTAGGGTGCTGGGAATGTACCTTGGTCCAACCTACAGGTTTACAGGTAGTGATAACGGTATGTCTTGTGTTTTATGTATTGTGGCAACCCAAAAATCGACTTCAAATTTCACATCCCAACCCGTCAGGCTCAGTTCAAATCTTGTGCCCTTGGTACATGTAAATGCATGCTTTTTACACGAATTCCCTCATTCAGGCGAAATCAGTATCAAATACTAAAACTAAGTTTATACTATTCTTTGTTTTCAACACCAAATCGAACGCAGTTTTGGGACACCCAGAAAAGTCTCGTGCCCAATTTAATTGTCTTGTGATAAAAATGTTATCGGGTGCTGTCATAGCCTCGCCGAAATATTTACGATATAACTAATTCATGTTACTGTGTCTAAATATGTATTTTAGGCATGATGTTGACTCTAATGTTGCAGATTTAAGTACATAGCGACTTGTGACAACCCCTGCATGGTATACATTGGGATATGTATTAAAGAATGTCTAGATATTAGAAATTCCGTCAATGCTTGTGGATGTAAATGCTCATTCCCATCCCATACTAGCCACACACTGTTGCGTTAAGCCTTGGTCACAACCCGCCGTACGTGCTTTTTGTCCGTACGTTTTTTGGGAGGCTACGTCTGCTACGTTTTTTCTGAAAACGTGGGGAAGGAGTGGCATCAACGCAAGTCACTCGCACGGTTGCACAAAGTGTAAGAGTGTGGTCTGCACGCCAAGTCTGGCCGTGAGCGGTTGCGTGCATCGTACGTTGCGCAAGTGGTAAGTGAGTTGTACCTGCTTACAACGTACGATCTCTGTGCGATTGCAACTTTACCGTAAGGAGGCCGTACTCACACGTGGTTCTTCCGCACGGCACGTACGGGGCACGCGCGTCGCTCGCACTCGCACGCACGGGTGGTGAATCCGCAGACCGCACGTAGAAAAAGTTTTATATGCACTTAAAGTTCTACGGCGTGTCTGCGTGCTCCCAAATCCGTAGGATTCCGTACGGAGGCGGTACTCACCACGCACGGATGTCCTACGTTTGTCCACGTTTTTGCACGTAGACAGCACGCAGAAGCACGTACGGCGGGTTGTGACCGTAGCTTAAGGTAGGATACTCTGGTGAAATTGTACTTATGTACCAGCTGTAGATTATTTATCATTCTTTATTATTTGGTGGGCCGGACTCTATCCTTGCAGCCAATTTCAATTTGCAGTGAATTGTGAGGAACTTACAATTATTTGGGGCTTAATCGCTAGGGTCTGGAGCGAACCCCATGTGCGGCCATAGGGCTAGGACTGTAAGGTTTGAACCACTCACACCGGAAAGGTCCCCTACTCATTTCCATAAGTGTGATGGGTTCTTTATCGTGCGTGGGGTGTGGCTCTCCCCAAACACGGGACCTCCATTTAACGTCCTGTCTGAGGGACGTCCCTAACCGAAGCTAGGTACTTATTTTCACCTGAGTGAAACGAGGAAAGTTGTGTTAACTTCGGTGTAGGATTCGAACCCGGGACCTCTGGGTTCTGATGAGTTGAACACTCTGCCGTTACGCCACACGCCCCCACTAATTAAAGATGCCATACTTTGTACCATGCACAATATTGTTGTACAATAAGTTATTATGATTATTGAATAGCAAAGTTCTTTCTATCACAACCATTTTTTTTCAAGCCGACGTTTCGATGACCTTCTGTCATCTTCATCAGGGCAATGGTTTACTGTGCACTGACACTAGATGTTACTTGGTGCATAGTGAGCTGGCATAGTGCACTAAAGGTGTTACATAGTTCATAGTGCACTTAAGCTAGTTTTTTTCTGTTTACAATACATAGTTCACATGTACAATTACACTACGTTCCGGAATGTATTGTAAACAGAAAAAAACTAGCTCAAGTGCACTATTGACTATGTAACACCTTTAGTGCACTGTGCACATCTAGTAACATCTAGTGTCAGTGCAGTGCACAGTAAACCAGTCAGAATTGCCCTGATGAAGATGACAGAAGGTCATCGAAACGTCGGCTTGAAAAATAAATGCTTGTGATAGAAAGAGCTTTGCTATTCAGTCGTTTACCAACCTGATGAAATTATTTACGGATATTGTGATTATTGTTTTAGGCTACGATCCAAGGAGCGTGTGTTTCTTGAGGCGGTGGAGAGAGGAGACAAGGCGACCGTGGGGAGATGTCTCCAGCCTCCTCATCCGGTCAACGTCAACGTCACTTCCGGCCTGGGCCGCAGCGCCCTGACCACGGCAGTCACCATGGAGAACGCTGAGATAGTAGAACTTCTCCTGAAGCAGGTGAACACCACACATAGATCGCATTTCTAGTATGTGTGAGGGCTTTTTCATTCAATTCTTTTTTTCCATACCAACATTGCAGACATACAAATTAGAACTATATCGCTGCCTGAATGGCATTGGTATTTACATCATTACGCTAAAATAAGCACATAACATTATTTCATACATATATACATAAATATATACACTACTTATATGAACAGTACATCCCAGGTATGACAAGTTTATACAGTCTGATTGTAGAGTCTGATAGACTGATGTAGGAACGAGTTCTGGAGCCTTTTTGTTCTGGCTGGGGGGATAGAGATAGTGTTTTTGTTTCCAAGAGAGCGTCCAGAGAGACAGGGACAAAATTCTTTTGTACATGCAAATTCGATTTAATTCAGTGTTATACACACTTCGAAAACGAATGAAGTCATCTTGTATCTTGTATGTTAGTTTCTAAACTTCTTTCAGGATGGCATCAGGATCGGAAGCGCGTTACTGCATGCCATCCGGGAGGGTGTGTATCGTATCGTGGAGATGATGGTCAACCACTCTAGGTGAGACAGTTATTACCTTCGCCAAGAAGGTTATGTTTTCAGAGCTGTTCGTGTGTGTGTGTGTGTGTGTGTGTGTGTCTGTAAACACGATAACTTGAGAATGCCTTGATGGATTGTCTTGATACTTGGTAGGTGGGTAGGTCTTGATGAGATCTCAAAATGATTAGATTTTGGACCCCCTAGCGGCTTGTTATGGTACTGAAGCTGAACTTCCGGTTTTGATATCTCATGATCTAGACATGCTATGGTGATGAAATTTGGGTGGTAGGTAGGTCTTGTGCTGGGGAAGAAGTGACGTGAGTTTGGGCCCCCTAGCGGCTTGCCCTGGAACTGCATCATTTGGCGAAGGTATGAGATCGGGGAATTCTAGTTCACCTTAAATTTGTTAGGGGTCGCTTCATGCATCCCTCAACATATTTTTCTGTCCGTTTCGTTGCTTTCAAACGCAAGAACATCATCCTGACTGTCATAGGCATATAACATATTTAATGTCTTTGAATGGTAAGTATCATTACCCTCCTTTGCAGACGTTCTTGGTGGGGTCGCATGGCATGTTTTTTTTTTTTTTCATTCATGTCTAATGTGCAAATTAGACAAGTGTGTAAATCAGTCCTCGAGATCCCCCCAAAACGAACGAGACCGCACCGGGAACGCAAGTGCTAGCCCTTGTTGTTTGAGTAATGTTAGGTTTTATTCGACATTAGATCTTATTCAACATATTTTGTTTATTATTTATTACTTTCTTGTACTTTGCATGCCATACATTGTACCATGCGCAATTGTCGTGCAATAAAGTTCTTTTGTAAAGGAGGCTAAAGCATAATCTTCAACAAGTAATTACTGTTTTTTTTATTATTATTTCAAACCATTTCCCAGTATGACGCCTGCTATGCTGGGTGCTGGGTGGAGCTGTGTGAGTCCTGACTGTGAAGATTTCTCCCCCTGCGTGAGTCCCGTCATCCTGGCCGCGCAACTCAACCAGTTCCAGATCCTACAGCTGCTGCTGTCACAGGGCGCTACCATCTCAGACGTAGGGGTGTTAATCACCGCCGTTTGAAATAATTATACTATTAGCATAACATGCCCGTCGCCGGGGAGAGAGGGGGGTTGGAAGAACCCCAAAACAAGGCTCAAATGTCCACTTTTTATATAAAGATCCAAGATTTTCCCTTAAAAAAAGGTGGACTGATTTGATTTGGAAACCTTTAAAAAAATTGCTCACTTTGTCATTGAATAAAGTTATCATAATTTTCCCTTTAAATCCTCTAAAAACGCAGGAAACGGCGCCATTTTGGAAGGTTCAAAATTTTGTTCAAGCGCAGTTTGAAAGGCAGCAGGTCTTTACAGCCTTCGTTAGGATGGGTGACCCCGATGATGTTCAACACGTGACTTTGAATTTACATACACTTGACTCTATACGTGGTTCAAAAGTGCCTGGGAATATGCACCCTTACCCTCCCGGTTCCTTTTCATTGGTGGTTACTGGTCCCTTTTATATTATTTTCAAACTACTCTAGGCACAAAAGATGTTAAGAGATACGTGTCATTTCCTTCTGCAATCCAACAGAGATTGTTGTTTAAGTGGATGTAAAGGACATTGTGCCCATCAGTTATTGAACTTACTGGTGAATCGTGTCAAATATTTTTCAGCATTTTGATTTTATGTATCATCACTAACCTAATGGAGAAGGCACAGTGAGCACTGAAGACATGTATGTAAACTAGAAATGCCAATATTTGCTTTGGAGCAAATACAGCGATGGGTTCACCACATTTTACGACATGGCAGGAAAAGAATGAGAAACACAAGGGAAAACAATGATTTACATTGATATAACTATAATATGAAGTAACATACAACTAAAACAACAGTTGGATAGCTATTCCTTACTTTATTGGTTAGGATTTTTAATTGCATAATGCAAACTGTTGATTTTCAAAATAAATAAAAAAACGTTCATGCCCCTCATTCCAATGCTGGAGCAGAAAAGCTTGAAATACCTACCAAAACACTTGAATAAAGACATACTGTCAGTATGGAAATGCTCTGTGCAGGTGTTAATCAAGTTAAATCCCAACAGCCAATCAGCAAGAAATGCTCTGTGCAGGTGGAAATGCTCTGTGCAGGTGTTAATCAAGTTAAATCCCAACAGCCAATCAGCAAGAAGTATAGAGGAAAGCTGCATGCCTATTGGTTGATGCCCTGCATTCCATTGTGATGACTCATGCCCAGACGTGGTAAACACGGCACACTAGTAATACATTTGCTATAACACAGCCAAAAAACTCAAATAAAACCATTCTAAAAGCCTGTATCACAAAAATTTAAAAAACGCCTAGGGGTATTTGCCCACTGTACCTCCATACCAAATTTCAGGACCTTAGGCCCTAAAATGAAGAAGCTGAATCCATTTAAAAAATGGCAGGAGGAGGAGGAGGAGAAGGAGGAGAAGAAACATCAGAAAAAGCAATATGGGTTCACCACCACTTCGTGGTGTGGTGAACCCATAAATATAGAGTAAAGTACGTTGTACATAATAGCATTTTTTCTAATTTTTTATATCCATATCATTACATAATACCTCACTTGCTCAAAAGTTTCCAATTCAAGGCTGTTGTTGTATTCTTCAGTCATCCATTCTTGATAGTTTCACTGCACTTAAAAAAAATCCTGTCTTCCAAACAACCAGCCATACTCTACAATCAACTGTGCCCGGGGATCACATCAACACACTTACAGAACCAGATATGCTACTCGGAACACCTTCAAACTAGACAAACCAAAAACAAACAGCACTAAAAAAGCCTTCACGTACAGAACTACTGCAGCATGGAACTCTCTACCACATGGGCTGCAAACAGTGACATCACATTAGAAGTTCAAACAAGATCTACTAAAACACATGAGGGACATGAATAATTAGAGCACATACGATGTTACACACTTGTTTTCTTTTAAAATACTATATAATGTAAATGTATATGTAATTGTACGTGATGTATTGTTATGTCTTACATGTATGTTCCCTCTCCTGCAGCTGGAAGAATAGCTGCCACCCTCGGGTGGGCAGCTAAAGGGGAACTTTTCCTCAATAAACCTCCTCAATATAGTTAGTGGCTTTAAAATCTGTTTGTTCGTTTCAGCCGCATATGCCAGGCTGCCACTGTAGGGGGTGTACAGACAGCAATAAGAACGACAGCCTTCGCTACTCTATTGTCCGGATGGAAACCTATCGGGCCCTGGCGTCGCCATCTTGGATCTCGCTGACGTCATCAGACCCCATCCTGACGGCGTTCAAGCTCAGTTGGGATTTGCGTCACCTAGCGACTAATGAGAGGGAATTTAAAGAATCGTATCTGGTATGTTAGTGTGGTTTTCTACCAAAGCTATTTGGCTGGTTAGTATACTACGATACGTTTGGTAACAGTTTGGTAGTAAAAGTGTAGAGGGATATGGCGAAGTGATTGCAATTGAGTTGTTTATTGCAAATTCATGCCCGAGGGCTAATTGTAAACAGACATTGACAAGAAAAATGTGGTGATATATGACTATTTGCTAACACATGAAGTTCTACGTGTACGATATACTTATCAAACCTACTAACTCTACTTAAATCTAATAACGTTGGTATATATACAGGATAAACAGTAGATATGCAATATATGAACAGGTAAGAGGAACAAGGCAACTGCTATTCTAATCTATTCTATTCTATTCTATTCTATTCTATTAAGCTATTCTACAATGTATATTTGTGAAATTCTTGTCTAAAAAATGATGAGCAAGTGATGGAAAGCACTTGCTAAGCATCATTTATGCAGATTCCAAAAAAAAAGTTTACACAAATGTCTGTGCTCCAATTTGTAACCACTGTTTACAGAACTTGGCGGAGCAGTGTCGGAAGTACCCTGTAGAGCTGCTGGACCAGTGCCGCAGCTCCGTGGAGCTCAACACCATCCTGAACCAGGTAACACTACTGAACTCCGCGGATAGGCGACTGGGTATCTTCAACAGTAATTCTGCAAAAAACGATCTAACGAATGAAAACAGTTTTCCGAAACCATAAATTCAAGCCACAACTGAAAGAGAATCAAACTCACGTCCACTGGGAGGCAACTTAATTCGATTTTTACCTTCGCCAAGAAGGTTATGTTTTCGTGGCTGTGTGTGCACGTGTGTGTGTGTGTGTGCACGTGTGTGTGTGTGTGTGTGTGTGTGTGTGTGTCTATTAACAGCATAAGTCGAGAAGGCTTAGATGGATTATCTTGATTTTTAGTAGGAGTCTATGTCTTGAAGAGATCTCGAAATGATTAGATTTTGTTGTTTCTGGTTATATCTTTTTGACGTCGAAAATTTGACTGGTTCTCTCAATTTTCCTTTGGGCATTCTTATACTACATGTGATATTTACACGGAAAAGAGGCCGTAGACACTGCGTGAGAATTTAAATACTAACCATCAAAGTGCGCTCATATTTACCTCAGGCCTGTGATGAGGATGAAGACCTGGATGACGAGGAGAACGCAGAGGATGACGGGATAGATGAGGACCATCAGGGACCCAGTCTGTACCGTCTGAAGCTGGCGCTCAAGTACGAACAAAAACAGGTCGGCGGGCAACATTTTTAATTTTCGTTTATTGTCAGCTGTTTCTTTGATGAAGATTGATATTCACAATGGTAAAAGTACATATAAAGGAGTGTGTAATTCAGTTGGCAGTGTTAAATTCTTCTTGTTCTTTTACTACAAATAAACCATTCATAATAAAGCTCTGTTGCTAGTAATGCCATCAGTGTATTAGCAGTCATCATTATAGCAGCGTCCAGTATATATAACAATTAGCATGAGGAAATGGTATCTCACCGCAGTTCGTAGCCCACCCCCATTGTCAGCAGCTCCTCACAGCCATGTGGCATGACGGCCTGCCCGGCTGGCGCAGGCGTAGTGTGCTCGCCAAGCTGCTGGTGGTGATGACGCTGATGACGTTGATGCCGATCGTGGCGGTGTGTTACGTCATCTCCCCGCGAAGCCGCATGGGAAGGTTCATGCGCTACCCCTTCATCAAGTTTGTCAGGTCAGAATGCTGCTTTCTTGTATAAGGAAAGCTTTTAGGTTAGTCATCTGTTAGGCCACAGCATGTAAATTTTATGGATGACATCCTTCACAGACTCCAAATCTAATGCGAGCGGGCGAAAAAAACAAGGTTCCTACATTTTCAAATTTTGGCTCAATCATTGTACAAATGGTTTTGATTCAGTGGGAACATCACATATACACATCCAACATCACATATCACTGCATCAAAGTAAGAAACAAAACATTAAATCAGAGCCTTGTCTTGTCTCCTCTCTTCATATTTATCTGCCATCCACCTTCCGGCATGGCAACAGACATCTTTGCCCATTTTCGGCATGTTGACCGCTGTCAGAAGGCAACAATATTTCTTTCTTTTTCAAATCAGGCGAAAATTAATGTGCGCGCTGATGTCATCCATAAAAAATTACTTGCTGTGGCCTTATGATTATATAGTAATAATTTTGGTAACGCCTTAGGGGTGGAGGCAATGACAATGTAAATTCGGGGCCCATGTAACTGATGACCCAGTAACACCTAGCTCCAGTGCACAGCAAACCAGTCATATTAGCTCTTATTAATATGACAGGCGGTCATCGAAACGTCCGCTCTTGTTAAAGTGGTTGAGAATAAGGAAATTTGCTATCCCAAAAAAGGGATATATCCATTCATGAATTTGAAAATAACGTTATTTTTTTAGCCAAGCGGGTTCGTTCGCGGTGTTCCTGATCCTGCTGACCATGGCCTCCCCCCGGGAAGAGAACATGACCAACAGGCGCGGCCCGCCGCCATCCACCGTGGAAGTCCTCATCGTCTTCTACGTAGCAGGTAAGCCTGGTTCTGAGTCCCAGTGTTTGAATCAATAATCATTTTTCATTCTTCATCTTTTCATTAGCCTCCTTAAGGCCTTTGCAGGCGTTCCGGGTGCGATCGGCGTTTTTTTTGGGGGGGGGGCTGATTTTTTTTCCCGGTGCGGTCGGCGTTTCTTTTTTGTGTGTGTGTGGGGGGGTGCTGATCATGATTTGCATGCTATTACCTGTGCATGTTCGCACACAGATCTCGCGTGCTTAGAACTCTGTCCACCTTCCCAAGTAAACCTTTCATGTAGTAGTTGGACCTGTACCATCTCGGCTTGTTTCGATTGCTGATGGACCATAAACTTTTCTGAATAAGGAAAAAGATTTCTTAACTTGATTTTGTTGAATTAAATGTTATTCCTCAGACATAATTTGTACTGTGTTCAGTTGTTTGGCCATACATTGTACCATGTGCAATTGTCGTGCAATAAAGTTCTTTTAAAGGTTTTTTTTCATAATCTCACACGCTATATCCGATTCCAGGTCTGGTATGGAGCGAGTGTAAGCAGCTGTGGAACCTAGGTCTGTATCTGTTCATCAGGGACTACTGGAACTGGTTGGACTTCATCATGAACTCACTCTACCTGGCAACCATATCCCTCCGCGTGGTCGCCTACGTCAGAGTCACCACAGGTGGGAGACGTCTCTCTCAGGCTACCCCATTATTTGATTAACTAATTCAATTTAAATGCACGGAATGCTATTGGAACCCCATCCCATTTGTTTCTTAAAGCCCATTTTACACATTCACGAACGTCCCACGAATTCGTTCCCGAACACCAGCCGAACAGGTCAGCTGGTCTTTCTGACCAGATTTAAGCCACACCTACCTTTCGTATGTGACGCAAAACGAATCTTAGTTAAATTGGAGTCAAATTTGATTCCTGAACACACCCCGAACACTGTTACTTACAGATGGTTAGCTTGTGTTTTGCTGACTTACGGTCGAAAACCAGCAAACTATGATCGAACCTCCCGAACGCCCCACAAATGTTTGAAACATTTGTAATCTTTCGGCTGGCGCAGCTGAACCGCAGCCGACCCAGCCGAACGCCAGCGGACCCAGCCGAATGCCAGCCGACCCAATCCTAACCATGGTTGCCCGGCGTTCGGCTAGCGTTCGGGAGGCCAAGTTCGTGAACGTGTGACAGGAGCTTTGTAATTACGTTCCACTTCCATCCCAACCACCAGTTCAATGATATATCGCCCCCACACAAGGAATGGACGTCCCCATGGCAACGGAGCGGAAGAACTGGCCGTCGGACGATCCCACTCTCATCTCGGAGGGGTTGTTTGCCGTGGCCAACGTCTTCAGCTTCTTCCGTGTCATCTATCTATTTCAGAGTTAGTGTGTTTATCGTTTTTTCCCCATATGATGTGGATATTATATATATTATCTATTATATGGATGTCATCCATATAAGGAAATCAACATGGCCAAAGGGGGAAAACATGGATAAAAAGACGCATTGCTACTGGTTCTTTATTTGTCCTTTCTTCCATTACCGATAGCTAACGTCTGAACTGAGTGAAGAGACTCTTCTTACACAACCAAGTCTTTTATTCAGCCGACGTTTTGGTGACCGTCTGTCACTTTCCTCAGGGCAGTTCTGACTGCCGCCTTCCTCAGGACTTGGTTGAGTCTCTTTACTTAGTGTCTTACCATCCTGATCTGTATCTGTATAGCCGGTATAACCGCCTTTCGGCGTAACACACCAGCTTCGCAGGCACGCGGCGCGGCGGCAGCTGGCTATATTACACCGATCGACTTGTAACACCTAACCCTTTAACTTCTAGCTCTAGACATCGTTTAAAGCTATCTATTGACAATGCCCCTATCGCTACTGTACTTGGTGACAGTGAGTTCCACTCTGCGATAGTTCTAGGAAAGAATGAATTCTTGAACACCTCAATCCTCCACCCCAATTTATGTACACAGCAATGGGTATGGCTACCACAATTATTTATGGATATGGGTCAACGGTTATATGTAAATTGCTGAGCAGGTGCGTTAAATTATGCCAATAGACACTGACCAATATAGGGCAGTCATTGGCATGTTTTCTGTCGGCGTATACACTACTTGCAAGTTTAGCGTTAAGATTGCTCTCAACCTAAGTATGAGTTTGTCATATGTCTTAGTTTGTATCTCTTTCATTGTATTATTACTAGCGGGAGACATCCATCCCAATCCGGGGCCTTCGTTCCGCAAAGATGTTAATTTTATGCATATTAATGTCAACAGCCTGGTAGCTGGTACGAAATTGGATGAATTGTCCGATCTTGTAGTTAGATTTAAACTTGATGTTGTGGCTATCTCCGAAACGTGGTTGGGGGACTCTGTTGACTCAGCGGCCCTTGCCCTTGAGGGTTTTCAGGCTCCGATTAGAAGAGACAGAAACCGACACGGTGGAGGCGTCCTGATTTATGTATCTGACCAAATTGCATACCGGAGACGACTAGATCTGGAGCCAAAATCTGCTGAGTGTATCTGGCTCGAACTCTTTGCGGGATGTTCCCGTATTATATTTTCTGTTTATTATCGTCCACCCGGCCAGGACTCGAGTACTGCCACTGAATTTATTGACTCATTTACCGACTCGGTCTTTGCAGTTGGGTCATCCAACCATGACGCTCTTATAATTACAGGTGATTTCAATGCCAAGCATAATGCTTGGTGGGCCCTCGATCCTATTACCCCAGTCGGCTTAAAACTTTACCAGGCTTCAACTATGTTAAACCTTACGCAGGTGATTAGCGAGCCGACATGCGATTTGTCACGCTCCCCCTCTCTAATTGATTTACTTTTTACTGATAGGAAATCCCTTGTTAAATGCACCTCTGTTTTGTCTCCTCTTTCAGGATGCCACCATTGTCCCATTATTACTAGATTTAACTTGTCACTAAAGTACCCACGTCCGTATGTTCGAACTATCTGGGACTACCCCAAAGTTGATCATGAATTATTAGCTACTTTTTCGTCCAACACTGAGTGGAATGACATTTACTATTGTTCTAGCGTTGATGATGCATGTTACAAGCTGGTTGATCTTATCCTCCTAGCTAAAAGTAAGTGTGTTCCCCATAAGAACATTACTGTAAGACCGAGAGACAAACCTTGGATGTCTTCCAGGATTAGACTGTTAATGCGTCGACGAGACAAGATTCACAGGAGAGCTAAAATGTTGAACAATGCTTCACTATGGTCATTATATCGTAATGTCAGAAATAAAGTAGTACGTGAAATTTCTCTTGCTAAGTCGTCCTATAACAACCGTCTCGTCGACTCACTGACAACTTCTCCTTGTTCCAGTAAGAAATGGTGGCACATTGTTAAATCCTTTTACTGTAGTAAAGTGTGTTCTACTATTCCACCCTTAAAGTCTGGTCATACCTATGTAACCGACTCTAGGGAAAAGGCAATTATGTTTAACAAATATTTCTCTGACCAGTCCACTATAGATGACTCCAAGTCTAGCCTCCCTCGACTAGATTTTCTTACTGATGTCCGCTTCTCAGAATGTTTTACTACACCTGAGGAGATTGAACTTTATGTCTCTTCCTTAGATGTATCAAAGGCATGTGGCTATGACAATATTGATAACCGTTTCCTAAAATTAATATGTCCTTATATATCTGATAAAATCGCATATGTTTTTAATTTATCACTTTGCCATGGTGTCTTTCCCGAAGCCTGGAAACGGGCAAATGTGGTTCCGATTTATAAAAAAGGAGATCATGATGATGTGTCAAACTATCGCCCCGTTTCCTTGCTACCTTGTTTGTCAAAAATCTTAGAGAAAATTGTTTATAAACATTTGTATAATCATCTGATGTCTCAAAACCTTTTGTATACTCTTCAGTCGGGCTTTATCAGAGGAGATTCGACAGTTAACCAGCTTATTTGTATTACCGACAAAATTTTCAACGCTCTTGACTCCAACAGAGAAGTCCGAGCGGTTTATCTTGACTTTTCTAAAGCCTTTGATAAGGTCTGGCATAAAGGATTAATTTTTAAACTTCAAAGAAACGGGGTAGATGGTCCAATTTTAAATTGGCTCTACAGTTATCTTTCTGATAGAGAACAAAGAGTTGTTATTGAGGGTCATTGTTCCGACTGGAAACATGTCAGCGCAGGTGTACCTCAGGGTTCGGTACTTGGGCCCCTTCTGTTTCTTATTTACATAAATGACATGGTGGATGGCTTGGTTACCTGCCCCTACTTATTTGCAGATGATAGCTCCCTTCTGGACATTGTAGACAATCCCAACTCTTCAGCTGATCGACTTAACTCTGATCTTAGGAAGATATCACGCTGGTCTTCGACCTGGCTTATGGAGCTTAATCCGCTAAAGACTGAAGAGATGTGTTTTTCTAGGAAATCCAATTCTCCAGACCATCCCCCCATTATACTTGATAATTGTGTTATTAAATCTGTTAAAGTTCATAAGCATATAGGAATGATACTTACCTCCACCATGTCTTGGGAAACTCAAATTTCACATATGATTGCTAATGTATCCAAACGAGTGTCCACTCTCAATAAGTTGAAATTTAGATTACCACGCACTGTACTTGATGCTATTTTTAAATCTTTTATTCGACCTCTTCTTGAATATGCTGACATAATATGGCATGGATGCACTGTGTATGATTCTCAACGATTAGAACGAGTCCAATATGAATGTGCACTTACAGTTTCAGGGGCTGTCAGAGGGTCTTCTTACTCCTCACTCCTTGTTGATTTAGGCTGGGAGAGACTCTCTGATCGTCGCCATGTTCACTCACTGATCATGATGTACAAAGTAATCCATGGCCATACCCGTCAGTATCTCAGGGACATGATCTCTCCCGAAGTTTCTTTTTCGACTTCATATGATCTTCGTAATAAATCTAATTTACGGCTACCGCTTTGTCTTACAACTAGGTATAAAAAGTCTTTCATTCCATATGCTACGCATCACTGGAATGGTCTTGATGTAGCTGTTCGATCTCTGAATCTTTCATTGTATAAGAAGTACTTAGTAAAGTCAGTACGTTCCCCTTTTTACCGACATTTTAGCATTGGCCCCAGGTACACCTGCGCATTACTCACGCGTCTCCGCATCGGGACCTGTAGTCTTAACCACAGTTTATTCTTAAGAAATTTAGCCCCTAGTGCTGCTTGTATCTGCGGGTCTCGTTGTGAGAGTGTCATACATTTTCTTTTACACTGCCCTTTATATAATCAACAAAGAGTTACCCTACTCAGCAATCTCCAGAATGTGGTAGGCTTTGATTTTGATGTTTTCAATATGTCTGAACAATTGTTATGTGATATTTTACTTAGAGGATTACCTGATTTATACTATGATACAAACTGTAATATCTTGCTAACCACTCAAACTTATATTGTTGATACCAAACGGTTTGTACTCGATTGATTTATCATATAGCCTACTAAACATTTC